TTTTAGACATCACAAAAAAAATAGGTTTCATATTTTTTTTTATTTTTTTTTTTTTAATTTTTAATATAGAGTGTGTGCTTTCAATAACCTACGACTTTGATTAAATTTGGTGGTTGTGTCTAAACCTTCCAAAACGGCCCGTGACGATAAAGAAGAAAGTGAGCGCGCTTCAAACCGGCCAGTTCTTGATCGGCGGTTTTCGGGCGGAAAGAAAGCAAATTTCGAGCCGCATATCCTGTTTTGAATGGTTGGGCTCTCATATGTCACGTACAACTAAAAACGTCGACGAGCATAAATACCCTGTCAGTGTCCCTTTAAAAAGAGTCACACCCAATTCACTGATTGCTCGAAAAAAAAAAACTCGGCCTGGTGGCAAATCCGTATGCCACTTTTGACTTGACAGGTACGAACTGCACCGAGGAAGCTCGAGTTAGTGCACGCATTTGTATAGCAATTGTGCTTTCGTTCTATCGTTCCGAAGGACTCAGACCAATATAAAGTGTCTTCCTTATATGACGAAAACGGCGCATGTGATACTGTGCGACAATGAAGATGGGAAAGCAGCGAAATGCGAACCCGAGCTGTGGCGGGATGGACAATATAGGCGGCGGTTCCCGAGAAGCGATACGCCGGTAGCAACTTGCCAATCTGCCACAGTGTAAACTTCAGTGGTCGCATATCGCATGTCGTGAGTCGGTCGCGCGACCGCTGCGAGTCTCCCCAGAACGCGTCTTTGCAGTTTACACCCATCAACCCCCTACAATCAGCAGATTGGAGCACGCAAACAAGCAGCAGAAAAAGGTCTCACTACTGAACGCCCGCCTGGGAAGCCCGGTAGCTAAAGAAATATGACAGATGAGATGGACAGAGTTTTTTTCTCTCATCTCCTTAGTTACTTGGGCTTCCTAGATTGGTGTATGGTAGGGAAGTCTTGGGTTGGTTGAACTGTTCCGCTCTGTTCGTTGAGGGGTGACGAGTGTTAGTTCTGGCCATGTGGGGTGTTCTTTTGCGTGCTAAGAAGCTGTCGTAACAACAAAATTTGAGCTGTGTTTTAGACGGTGTTGTACTTGTCCTCTTTTTCGTGTACCATTGCCTGAACATTTCAAAGCATGAAATGCTTTTAAACAGAACCCCCCAATCCGAAAATGTTTGTCAATCCGTCCACCCGTTTGTCCGTCCGTGAATTTACCACTAAATTAGCGGGGAAATTGACGTCACGTGACCTATAGTCCTTATCACCGTCCGTCGCAATGGGGCTGCCATCTTGGAATCACGTGACGTGGCCGTCTTAAGGTCAATTCAACTCGTAGCTTCTCTCTGACCTCACAACCTTGGCGAAGTTGTTGTATTCGTGTTTTTTGTCGCGTTTCACTACAATATTTTCCCTTCCTTTGTGAAGTGTTGTCCGATACTTATTTTTACGAACTAACTGCAAGCCATTATTATCTGCACAACTTCTGCACTTCATTTAATAGCGCGTTTTGAATATTTTCACCGTCGGCTTTCAGGATACGTCGAAGGAAAGGAATCAGCGTTAGTACTGGCGCACATATTATATCTAGATTACTCCAAGACACACGAGGGTTGAGATGCCAGTTATTTATAAGAGTGCGAATTCTTTTAAGTGATTCTGGCTCAATAAGAAGAGCAAGGTATATTTATAATCCGGCATTTATGATCTTAAAGAAGGCAAATATAGCCAACGCAAGGATCTACCACCTGCGTTTCTTTAAGCATCGTGATCTGCCTTCACAAAAAGTCCAAAACAGTTGCTCTTTATTATATGGTGGAATAATGTTTGTAGTATAAACATCTCTTGATCTGTTTATTTATGAATTTTAAGGAACTATACATTGTGCTAGGTCCAATGTCTGTAGTTATTAAATTTTATTCTGATATCCAATTCAATTTATTTGTACACAAAGGGTTGAGCTCCCTGGGTGAAAAACGTGTCAGACAGCTTGTAAGTGCCATGAAAAAATGCTGCATGAGGGGGAGGGAGGAGAGGAGGCCCCAGCGAACTGAAAGATTTTGGGGGGGGGGGGGATCCGGGCCCCATGCCCCCCCCCCCCCCCTTCTTCCTGGATACGTGGATACCGGCATAACGTTGGGCTCTGACGACCACGATCGGCGTACTTAATTCTTAGCAAGTAAAATATTGTGCAGGGGACGTTCCGATGTTTCTCGGCAATAACATCATTTCTGAATAAATAATATTTTTGATACATTAAAAAATATTATTTTATTCAGAAATGTTGTTAGATATACAAGATATACAAGAAACTTCGCCACCTTTCGATATCTAAGAACAAAAGCCCTTCCAGCCGCATGTGCGTCGCGTACCTCTCTGGCACGAGCAAGGTCCTAGCCCGCGTTTTGAGACCGCACGGTATAGCAGTTACACATAAACCCGTCCCAACTTTAGGCTATCTTCTTCCTCTTCCGAAGCATCGCCCACCCCCCCCCCCCCCCAAAAAAAAAAAAACAAAAAAAAAAGCTTAAGGTTTGATTTATCAAATTCCTTGTGCTGAATGCGAAACCTCTTATGAGGGGGAAACCAATAACTTTCCCGAGCGTCTGCGCAGACATAACTATGACGGAAAGAAAAAAAAAAAAAACATCCAAGGCAACGCGCTGCGGAACATGCTCAGAAGACCGGCCACGTCATCGGCCTTGACAGCAGTTCCATCCTGGATAGAGAAAGAAACTGGTGGAAGCGTCTCTTATTAGAATCTTGGCACATACAAAGTACTAACCACAATCTGAATCGATTTACCGGAACGCTGCCAAGCAGCTATATCCACGGGCTACGATGCGCCACACACAAAAAGAGAATAAGAAAACAATGCGAAGAGAGATAAGAAGAAAGATTGTTGCTTTTGGGCCAAAAATAGAGTCACCCGTGATCAAGGAGACGAGCCGGCTTCGAAACGTTGGGCACATTGAAGATATTGCTTAGTCTACAAAGTACCCTATCTCTAGAAGTTAATATAGTCAAACTTGCTTAAATTTAAAAAAAGTGAATAAGCTGGGCTACAAACGATCGCAGATTGAAAATTAAAACGCATTGTAGCAGGAGTAACTGTTTCTAATGGCTAAAGTGCAAACTTGAGGGTTAGAGCATAGTTTCTCAAAGTGAGGGCGGAATTCGGACACCGCGACTTTCAGCTCTGGATTGATGTTGAGGTGCAACCGGTGCTTTGTTTTCACTGACATCACTGAAAAAAAAAAGCCGTTAGTGTTTTCAAATTCCTGGGACGATTCGCGAACCCCCCTCCCCCTGTAATCTGTCGCGACCGTTGTTGGGTCCGAGGCTCACAGCTTGGGAGATGCTGGAGTATGGAGTTTAAGAACCGACTTCCTGAATGCTATAATTTCGACTAACCGTGTTGCAAGGAATGGGACTACGCGAGGTGCCCGCATTCTTGCAGGTAATGGGGATTTCAACGATTTTGGTATACAAAGTAAAATAAATTAATTAAAAGTGCTACTCAGCCTGCAATGTTTCTGCGCTGAAGGTGTTGACAAATACGTTCTTTAACAATTGCGCGGATTTGGTCAAAGAGTGCATGAAGCAGGAACATGCACGGTTTTAATGTTGAGTATAGACTTCTAAGTTAAAATAATAATTTTAGGTTTCAAGTGAAATTCGAAATAACTATATATCGCCTAATCTCCAGGTCTAACGTTGACTGAGTCTGAATACCTATTTATTATTGGAGATTGTTTTGCTTTGGAAAAATATTTTTTTTACATAAGGAGCGGTTCGAACAACGCATATTCGAATTTAGGTTAAGCTTGCCAATTTGTCTTTATAGTCCTGTTTCGTTTTTTTATCATATACTGCAATTCTTTCATTACTTATTATATAAATCAAAACTATATTATGAATATATACAAATCAGTGGGGCTGCATTGAATAATATAGGAGTATGGTAATCTTCATTATTACTCTAGGGCAGTGGTTCTCAAATGAAGTTCCGCGGACCCCTTGGGGTCCGCAAAGCCAATCTAGGGGTCCGCGAAGCCCTGCCTCATTGTCAACGAAAGTTGTATTGTTCCAGATTGCGAAGAAACGTTCCAATTTTCGGGGGAGTTTTCTCGTGTGTATGTCAACGAGAGAAGTCACTTCAATCTAGCCCTAAGTTAGATCCACTTATTAACTAATTACTATAATTAATTCATACAATTTCCTTTCCCTCACCACAGACGGGGTCCTCCATCATCTCCGCCGATCCACGAGGGGTCCGCGACACATCAATGGTTGAGAACCACTGATCTAGGGCACCATATCAAAGCCGAAAAATTAGCTCCCGAAAATTTGTGTTTCCATGCGAAGGTAGACACTGTCATCGGGATAATGTATAGAAGCATGCACTCATTTGGAGTTTCATAATTCTTCTGTTTGCGAGATTTGTATATAAAAAAAGGCCTCTTTGTAATTTTTGTAGAACTTCCCTCACTGTTCACACCAGAAAGAATGCGCAAGTTACCACATGGTAGGTTCGCATTTACTGAAAAGTGGGCTGCACCGGAAACGGTGGCAGTGCGAGAGCTGCCCTGCAAGCCAGCCGTCTGTAACAAACATCATGTGTCTGTTCAGCGTCCCATACGGCATTGTGCATTATTGACAATTTCCGAAGCTAGAAAACATGAGATCGGCGAAGAAGCTTGGCACGGGGTTACTTCCAATATATTTATTTGCACATTTCACTAAGTGTCTTTTGTATATAGCAAAGCCGGGAGTATCGATAAGAAAGTGCAGTGTTTGTGTACAAATGAAATATATTCACGAAAGGGTTGCGTTTTTTATTTGTGCTCTTGTGTAAGCATCGTTGGCTTATCTCTTGCAACGCGGAACCTGCCAGCGTGTGAGAGAACGCCAACCTGGATGTGCTACTTTCCACTCACAAATTGCACGAAAATATTGATCGATTTTTGGTTGGCAGACTTGAGTCACATGATACTATGACAAATTGTATAAAAGCCCAAGGGAATCAATAGAAGGCATATTCCTATCAGTTAGAAATCCGTCGACTTCCGTGAGTAATTGCATTTCTCGAAATTATACTAAACGTGAAGGTGAAATCACCTTCAGTGCACTGCTTGTATTTAAATGTAGTATTAACCTTTTTTTCTGGTTTGCCTTTTGAGGTTTCTTCCCTGGTAGGGACTGTCACTTGACAGTCATTCAAAATTATATTCCTGTTATCCTAAGAATATTATTAACCGAAGTTAAGCCCCTGCATTTTTTCCCTTCGAATGCCAGGACAATAGCACGTAAGCAAAACTGTTAATTCTATCGAACAAAGTCACTCCTAGCCATTATCAGGACTAGCGTTCCACGTGGCCTATTGAGAAAATATTTAAACGACATAGAGGTATAACGAGAAGCAAACAAAGAAGCCACAGATGTCTAATGTAAATTGACGAGCCTGGTATGAAAAAATTAGTGTAAAAACGTAGGAATGCATTGCTTTATCTGCCCGTACATTTGTTTTGCTTTCAGACATCATGAAGCTGCTTCTTTCGCTGATATTCCTTACTTTATTGGTTGCAGTCTGTAAGTACCCACTTAGCAGATACAGTTAGGCCACGTTTTTTAAACATTTTCATAGTCTAATTATTTCGGCTGCTTCTTTTTTCAGACTGCTCCGACGAGTAAGTATAGGAAGTATTCGATTACATTGCTTGATTCCGAATTAGCTACATTTACGTTTTTTTAACGAAAAACGCCTCCTTCGTTTTAGGGAATCTCAAGTGGCACCTGACGGTGAGAGAAGGCCTTTGAGCCGTTTTATTTAGAACTGTAAACATAGCAGAATCGGAAAAAAACTTTCAAAACCCTATGAGACTGCAGCATGCATTTGGCTTGTCGTGATTCTTTCTGCCTTAGACTTCGAAACATGATCTCCATGAAAAAATGAGCGCTATTGGGTTCAAACCTATATTTATGCTCCTGAAGATTCATGCTAAAATTACGTTTCTTCAGAATACTGATATATTGTCTGCCGCTTCTAGGCAAGACGAAATGGTCTCACAAGGCGCTTCATATAAATTAAAATGGGAGGTGTTGTACCTGGTCGTTAGCAGAGCATAAAAGTAGTATTCGAATATGCATTATGCTTGCAGATGAAGCCGCAGGGTACCACCACCGGAGACACCATCACGGTCACTACCCCCACGTAAGAAGGCGGCCCGCGCGCAGGTGGGGGTACCCCTTGTACGGAAGCGAAGATGATGTGGGAGCAGTAGAAGACCAGGGTGAAGACGCGGAAGAAGTCGCCGCAGACGGAGAAGAAGAAGAGGAAGTCGACTCAGCAGGTCAAGACGAAGACGAGGTTTCAGAGTACGGTGTGGTCGCCAGGAAGATTCATCGCTGTGAGGCAAGGCGTCGCTTGGGTCTGCCCTGCCGTTCGCATCCTCTGTACCCTCGCACCCACTACCCTCACCACAGAGTCTGAGAGGCGCGGCTACTCTTGCTTGAAATAATAAAAAAACGCATAAGTATTTGAAATAAGTACAATGTTTTGGAGTTTCTCTGAACGTTTCGCGTTCCTTCTAGTACTCATAAACATCAACATAAATATCCGACTTGCAATTTAAGATATAAGCGTGTTCTTCAACCATACTCACGAATGGAGTGAGATAGAAGAAATAGCAAATTCTTTTCTTATTTTGGTGGGCTTCAGCACCGTAATAAAATGGAAACCATGATACCTTGAAAGACGCTCTAGCTATTCATTCGTGCTTAATGAAGGAACACCGTAATGGAAACTTTTATAATTTACCGATTGTTTAGGAGAGCATATGGACGCATGCTTCGATGCTTCGATTTTAACTTCGCTCACCTTGTCACTGAACCCGGCAGAGGTGGTACTACATCGTCAAATGTACTAGACTTGATTCTTACCACGGCACCAGACCTTGTCCGCTCACGGTTATATTTTCATTTAATTAAGCGACCATTGCTCCATGCACACCCTTTGACGGGGCGAGTTTCCCGTCAAATTACCAAGTTTAAGAAAATCAGAGATCCCAAAAGAACAAGATTACACTTTAATAGATAAATAATTTGAAATATTTCTTTAAAGTTTTGTACCTGGCGTCTTCGATCCCACAGTTGTACATAACTGGAGCATATTTTAAAACAAGGTAGCGCCCTTGATTCGCGGATAAGTTCCGCTTTGTACAAACTCCGTCAAAAACAAATGTTCCCCGTGGTTTACTATCGCCCTAAAAATGCTGCTCTCAAAAAAAAGGCGGCTGTTCCGTCTAGCAAAGCGAAGAAACATTCTCGCGCGTTGGTGTGTATGCCAAGAAAACGTGTCTGCTTGCCGCATTGCTATCAAGGTGTCCAAGCACACTTCTGTTAACAATACGCTTCCATCTATTCACGTGTGTAGCCCGTCATAATTTTGAAAGATTATAGAACCTTATAAGAAAAATATCGTATATATTGTGGATTCAAGTGATCACGTCATGCACAATGAAGAACGTTGTTCTGTGCTAGACGACGTCATTTCGTAGTCATTTTCGGAACATTGTGTACACGCAGTGCCACAATGACGTAACCACAAGCTCTTTCCAATGACTCCACAGTGCCATATGATTGAAAGGTGGTGAAGACGGTTCCTCTTCACAAGTCCGGCAATAGTCAATCTCCCATCAGATATAGACACATTTTGTTAACGAGCATCCTGTGTAAAATGTTAGAACTTGTCATCTATCTTAACCTCGTGTCATTTATCCAGTCAAATTCATATTTTAGACCATTTCAGCAAGGTTTTCTGAAACATTATTCTTGTGAATGGCCACTGCTTTCCTCTACTCAGCACGTAACCTCAGGTCTTGATCATGTATCATTTTTCAACTGCATATTTCTCGACTCCACGAAAGCGTTTCACCAAGGTACCAAATCAATTCCTCCTGCCTACATCGACACCTCAAGTATTGACCCTAACGTCATTAAATACATTAAATGATTTTTCACTAACCGTAACCAGTTTGTAGCAGGTAATGATGATGCCTTATTTATATCTCCTGGGAAGTATAAGGTCCCTAAGGGTTCTGTTTGGGCCCATTTTTTTTTCTTCATATATATTGATGATGTTTCCGCCGGCATTCAGACTCCTATAGAGCTATTTGCTGACGCCTTTGCTGTTTACCGCAAAATGACTAACCAATGTCATCGTTCTCTCCTCGGGTTGGACCTCGTCGATATCTCTATGAGGTCATCCTATGGCAAAGTAGACACGGCAATTTTTTTCATGTCTGGCATATGTACAAATATCATTTTGGATAAAGCAGCCTCTGAACTCGAAGAAAATATTTTTTTTTGGTGAAAAACATTAATAAACTTTATGAAGCTGAAAAAAAAGAAAAAAAAACTTAGAAAACTTTCGCGTTTCAGACCAGTTAAGCAGGGCGACAAATTACTTTATAGCAAGCACTGTCTTTGACTGAAAAATTAACATTAAAAGACGCAATATTGAGTCCAAATAGGAGCTCCAAAAGAAGACACTTTTTTAGCTTTTTTATTCTTTTTAGTCAAGTTGGATTTGGGTGCAATGTTAAAATACTTTTTTCTATGGTTTCTTACAACTAGTAATTGAATAGCTTGCATTAAATAAAAAAAAACTCCTTTCGTTGCATTTTAATTCAATGACAAAATCTCCAGTTTATGCAGAAAATGCCATATTGAGAGCCAGAAAAAGCAGTGTGGACAGCGGTTCCCGGAACTTTCGAAAAAGGCAATTTTTGAATCCACGTCATCTGTTCAACATATAAATAAATTAGAAAAGTATTTTCGCTGTTGGTGAAAAATCATTTGCTTAAAGATGGGCTTCCTCGACCATGGCTCCAGGCGCCCGCCTCGTAGGCGAGGCACGTCGGCTTTCGCCAGCGAGGCGCCAAGGGTGTGAGACGTCGGCGCAAGATCTTGAACCCTCTCCTGACAGCACGTTTTATTCAATTGAAGTTCACTTAATTCTGACTTCCCAGCATCCGTATCATCTTTTCGTTAAGTAGTAATACGGGCGTCTTAATTTTACTCTTTTTCTGCCCAGGTAACTGCCGACGAACGCAGTCCTGCATTGTCTGCTTCCCGAGCTTGGGAATGCGTACTGCGCGTCGGCCTCGTCTGTTGTATGTCTAGATATAAAACAAAATTTTGACCACATAGCTCTTCACGGATCCGAACTGCTAACGGTGATGTCGTTTATCTATTGAACTTAAACTCATGTTGATAAAATAGCTAGTGGTACCAAAGGAGTGTAATGATGCAAACAGCATTTTACTCTTTGTGGCGGACGCCTCACACACATGAGGTTCCGTTCATATGCAGTATTGTAGAATCCGGAATACACTGGGAGGCGGCAGAGCTTGTCTCAAATTCTGAACTTACTAGTAGTTTTAAAAAAACGTGTGTTTGATAAGAGGGTGTAATAATACGGTTGCTCTCTTTGCCATCTGAGTGCCAGGCTCGGCAGACATTAGATGATGTAATAACCATCATGGTAAGTCGGTTTAATCAACGAATTGTTCTTTACATTTTTAATTAAATGTGTCATGTATCATGTTGCAATTGCATAAGAGACGCGAACTGCTATCAGATGCTTGACCAATTAACATAATTTGCAAAAGGCTCATGATTCTTAAATTGTCACCTATCACAATCCGCGTTTTTACTCCCGATTTCAATATTGCACGCCAACAGAGTGTATTAAGGTCTGCCCACAGTGGCGCTTTAAAGAGTGACGTAGTCGTTCCCATGATGTCGTCACTATCTCGGCAGCGCGCCCTCGGGAAGGTGCCAACGAACACCAATATGTCTTACTTGTATAAAAAAACTCATTTGAGTCTAATGGGGAAGCGACGTCACGTTATTGTTTTACATCGGTGAAGAGCTATACGGCCTGAATTGTTTTTATACATGAACATACGACAGACGAGGCCGACATGCAGTATGCATTACCAAACTCAGGAAGCACACGACGCAGTCCTGCGTTTGCCGGCAGTTACCTGGGCGGAAGTAGAGTAAACTGGGCGTTGTACGCGTTCTTCAAATAAAGGAACGAAAGCTCGTTCCTCGTTCCTTCTGATTTTTGGAACGCGCTCCCGTTACAAGCTTCATTTGTGAAAATGAAAATCGTTTCCTTTACAATCAAAATGGAACGTATCGTTAAACATACGTTACATTTTTGCTGATTGCCACATTTAGTTAGATCGAGCAAAGTTTTATTTCTTTATTTTTATCTATCCCATTAAATGGCAACATACAAATTTGAACGCCCTGATGGAAGGGCACCAGGAGAAGACAACGAGCGGAAGCAGGTTTCATTTGGTGAAATATTCACCTTTAAAAATCTGAACTTTTAACCATATTTATGTTTGTGGTGGCAGATTCAGACAAGCAAAATGTATTCTTACCCCACATTGCGCGAACGCTTTACAACAACCTCACACGTTTCAATCTAACGAAGTATATTTTTGAACTTAGAACAGTTGCGTCTCGACGTTTCTGTCAAAAAAACGAGCAAGGGAAGAAGAGGATAGGGCCTTTGTAAGGTCTGTCTACAAGACCTACAAGTACTTCATGAAGGATAGATTCGTTGTTGAGTTTGAAGATGGGGGACAAGGGGAAAAAGAACAATGGTTCTTTTTTTATCTTTTAAGTGACCAATGTTCGAGATACAAGGGTGCGTTTTATGTCTGGTAACCTGTTTTTTTGTTGCAACTGTAGGTCTCTTTGTGGAAGTTCCACGATGGCTATAGTCAGCCTTAGACTTTAGGGTGTGCGTGCATTCGTGGAAGCAAAGAAAGTAACCGAGTTTGAAACGTTCCTCTTTCTGTGCCATTTCCTTCGACTAAAAGTTTTGCTTTTTGTGCCGCAGTCTCAGGCATTGAAAAAAATAATCAATGCCCACTAGCTCTCCTGCATCCGACTATTACCAAGCATGGACCACGCAAAATAAACCCTAACATAAGTAACCAAAAAGTTAACAAGGTCCTGCTCTTCGTAAAGATATGTTTTTATACTTTTTGAATTTCCCTCTTGAAAATAAAATAAAAATGACCCCACTCGACGGGAAAAAAGCAACGCCGTTCCGTTTTACGTTCTATAAAAAATGTAACGAGTTTCCGTTCCAGTTCTACGGGAGCAAAATAATACGGCGGTGTTCATTCGTTCTTTTTAAAAGGAACGCCTTCCAGTAACGCCGTACCTTGGAACTCCGTTCCATACAACACAGAGTAAAATTAGGACACCTGTATTATTACGTAACGCAAAGATGATAAAGATGCATTGAAGTGAGAATTAGGTCCACTTACTGAATAAAGCGTGTTTTCATGTGAGCGTTGAAGACCTCGCGGCGGTGTCTGACAGTGTTCGCGCCTTGCTGGCGAACGCAGGTGTGTGCCGACTCCGAGACGGGCGCCTAGAGGCATGGTCGGGGAAGCTCATCTTTAAAAAATTAATTTCTCAGCAACAAAAAAGTACTTTTATATTTTTTTTTGACAT